GTGTGTGTGTGTGTGTGTGTGTGTGTGTGTGTGTGTGTGTGTGTGTGCGCTCTGCCGCTCAAAGTCAAACTGAGCATTTGAAGTTTTCACTCTTGAAGAAAACGTATTTCTTTCAGTCCTAGTCTCTGTGTGTGCCTGTCTCTTTCTGTATGTCTCGCTCTTCCTCTTCCCCTCTCAACTTGTCTCTCTGCTTCTGTTTGCAGGTGGTGTGGAGAAAGCTGGGTGATGCAGCAGGATCAAAGCTGTCCATCAGACAGCACCTCTCTGGGAACCAGTTCAAAGGGCCCCTGTAGCCTGGCAACCAGAGAGAGAGAGAGATCAGGATTTACAGTACCTACACTCACCTGGAAACACCTCTTACTACCTACGCCTACACAACCCATGTGCTCTCCTACTGCCTACAGCACCCAGTACTCCTTCAACAGACACTCTCTTAATACGGGCTAAGAAAGCTCCTAAATGGACCTGTTGGTCTGTTATTCACATGCAAAACTTTACGTGTTTAACATGTTTTTCTCTCTCAGTGGTTATGAAGCGTTGACAACTGGCAGCTAGTTTCACTGATTTGCCACTTTTCTTCTTTGATTTGGGGGCTTTCAGCTATACGATGATCTCTCTCTGTAGGAGCTCTAATCACACACCACCTTTAGTTCTTTGGAGCATAGCTGCGCTACATTAAGCTAACATAATGACATGGTTTCAAGCACAGACCCGATCAGGCCGCAGGGGCAAACATCTCTCCACGTTGCTGGTGGATATGAAGGCAACATGCTGGCGGTGTCTTCAGATAGGTTTGGATAGTACCTCCTGTAGAGAACCTAGCTCCTGTCACATGTATCTCCCCCTAGTGCTCAACGAGTATAACTAGTATTAGCATTCTAAAGTGATCACTAATGTGAAACCCACTGTGACCTAGCGCCTTTTGCTCATAAGACAAGTTTATGGATAATTAAGTATAGAGATCACTGTTAACTTGTGTATATTATGTATAAAACCATAGCACTACTTCATTGTTATAGTTGATTTTACTTTTATCTATTTTGTATTCTAGCGTGGCCATGTGATCAATTCCTTAGTTTGAAAAGCACACACAACCGGACCTTACACAGGGTTTGCTTCTGGTATTTTTTATTTTGTTCCAGATAAATTGCTATTATTCCTTCTCTCTGTAACCTCTGAAAATGTTCAAGGCCATTCTGAATCCAACCATCTCCATGGGCTAATGATAGATCATTTTCTTACTTTGTGGAACTGACTAAAATTGTATGCTGTGTGCATGCTCGACAATCATTTTCTCAGGTTGAGAGGGCTACAGCTTTACCTTTGCCCGTGTGTGTGTGTGTGTGTGTGTGTGTGTGTGTGTGTGTGTGTGTGTGTGTGTGTGTGTGTGTGTGTGTGGAAGCAGACTGAATGGTTCTTTTGCAGCTGTAGCATCTACCTGTGAATCCTCTTTTCCTCTATTGAACCCTGGTTACAACTCAGTTGAAGACTGCTGAAGGCATTTGCTGAATCCATACAAAAAGCTTTGTCCCATAACACAAATGTCAAGGTGAAATATTAAACCCTCAGTTCAGTTAATAAGGCATTCTTGGATGCTCCTAATTCTCCTAATGCCCTTCGTTCATTATTTTTATTCCTCAGTAGATGAAAAATGTTACTTTTCTGAAGCTCAGTCCTTTTCTGTGGATTCAGCAGGTGTGTTCATGCGGCGCATGTTTCTTAAAGTTGAACCTTTTTTCTTAGAATATGAGAGCTTGATAAAGTCTTCCCTTGTGTCTCCTGAAAACACTAATATTTAAAAACCAGTATTTCTTGATGTCAGAATGAACAAACACTGTCAGAGTATTTATTGCCAGGTGTCAGATAGAGATGGGAGAGCATCAGTAACTGTACAGTCATATTTTAGATACATCACATTACTCAAACTGTAACGTTATTAGATGGATACGTGTAGTGACTGACAGCTCAAGCTCTCCCATCTCGAGTGTTATTTGTTCCAAATTAGAACATTTCTGAGGCTGCCCACCACGCACCTCTGTTCTCTCAAACAATGGGGTCAAAAATACATCAAAGTATTTTTTTTTTTTTTTTTTAAGAAGTGTCCTTTTTCTAGGAACTGATTTGAAGCCATGACGCAATTTTGAATACTTTATCAATGGCATTTGATTTTTATGCCACTTTTTCTCTGAAAGGTGTTTTGATTTGGAACCCAGCGGTCTTCTGTTTTGCCTAGATGCTACGTCGGTACAGAATCCTAGATCCTACAGTGTAAATGTCAAACCTGTAGTAACTCGCATGGCTGTAACTTCTCTTCATGACTTTCACTAATCAGATGAAGATCAGGTGAAAACATTAAATAGGCCACTTTTAGAAAAGATTTGGAGAAAATAAATAAAGTTGGTTAATGATACTGTGAAGTAGTGTCTTTATTTCATGAAGCAAACATTTTTGCAGGCATGTTCTTTTCTTCAGTGGATGAGTTGGACTGCCCTCTGTTAGTACAGAGCTGGAAGTAAAACTGCGATTTCTTTCTCTGAGGTTCTGTGTCCCACATGAGTGATTCCAAACCAGGGCTCCTTTGTGTGGAAAGCTCCAATAATACACATAACTGTAATAAATAGAATAGAATTGTGATTGGTGTGATGAGCCCTGCCTTTCCCTGTCAGTCTGTTTCTCATGTGTCTGTCTGTTTGTTAGGTGCTACAGTGCCCAGTGCACAGCTGATTAGCGAGTTGGTCCAGCTGTGTGCTTTGGTCTCTGTTTTGGAGGTTGGTTTCTCACCTGGGGTCTGATTGTTGTGTCCTTTCAGAGGGAAAGTGTTACTGTTTTGATGCACTTTCACCAACACGTTCTCACTTTGCCAGACCTCTTGGCGACACTTTCTAACACACTGTAACCTCGTGCATGGTCACAGTAAACGCATGGATAACGTTGTGAATTCAAACCAAAACAGTTGCTTAGGTTTGGTGGGCCGTCAGGGCCTGCAAGGCCTTCTCTGCTGGCCTAAACAGAATCACAAAGCTATATCTATTTTATAATTTAATAATTTTTCTTAAATACACCATGTATTATAATTTATAAAAATATTTTTCCCATTATCTTATTTTCTCATTGCACAGCTACTGTCTTCCTCAGTTGCTCTGCTTCCAGTGCAGCTTGTTTTAAGTAGAGCTTTTATCCAATCAGATTTCACCTCTGTGTCTCTAGGTAAGAAGAGAGGCCAGGCCTGCAGACTCTCAAGTGCATCCATGTGCAGTTTAAGTGACTGGGGATGATATTGTTGATTGTCATATTCTTCAACCAATCAGAGTTTGACATGTTGGGCGTATTCTTTGAAGTGTCAGCACCTGCTAGCCGGCCTATAATGACGTCAGCATTAGTGCCGCTCACTGTCCATGTGTAGTTCTGCCGCGAGGTGCAGAGTGGTGCTGTGATTGGTCAGTGGGCGAGCACGTGACTATCGTGAAACGAAACTTAACAGCAGAGGCATGTCGGGTAGTGAATCACATCACGTGATGCATCTCAGCCAATCAAATATGGGCATTCTGACTGAGTGAGATGTACCACACACCATGACACAGGGGGCTGAGACGAGGAAAGACATTGCAGAGCAGTACGTTAAAGTTGTGAAAGTAAAATCATAAGATGATGTCTTTGGGCTGTGACTTGTCATTAAGGAGTGATGGTGGGTCCCACAGCCAGACCAGCTGAGAACCACTGCCCTCCATGAGAGCAGAAAACATTATATTTCCTGAATATAAGCTTCTGCATTTTCCAGATGCTCTAGTACTATTCAAACGTATTGCAAGTCTTGTACCGACATTTAATACGTACATAGTTACAGCCTTAGAAACTAATAACTGTGGTGCCATCATGTGGTTAAAAGGTGGTATTTCAGCTGCAGGACAACAGTGAAGGCCTAGGTATAAAATGCACAGCCCGCCACTGGGTTTAGGCAATGAAACCATTTAAGACTATCAGGGTTGGGCTTAAAATAAGTATGTAGAACATAAAAGTTCACTAATATACCTTACTAACGAAATAACTTCACAATTGGGAGACAAACAACGTTCCTGGTTGTTTGAGCTGCTCACCATCACTCCATCTTTCCCTTTGTCGAGTTTTTCCATCTTTATTACATCATCATCACACTCCTGAAGCATTTTCTCGGAGCGTCTAATGATGATGAAGATGGGTTCACATAGTTCAGTGAAAGCCTGCACCTCATACAGACGCGTAAAGGTGCCTTGTGCGTTGGTTTCAAGCGCAGAGCGCCGCGACAAAGGTGTCGATATTTGACGCCCTGGGAATAAGAACGGGTCGTTTGCAGTCAACTGCCTCAAGGTACTTCTCCACGTTATTTTGTGAGGTTGTCTGCTTGCAGGTCACTTTACAAGTCCCCTGCTTTTTAGTGTGTGAATACTAGGGATGCAAAACCGAACCGTGAAAAGATGAACCCTTCCATGGCGTACAAACTAAATCATGGGCTTGTTGAACCATTGCACCACTATTAAATATACAGGCCTGCTATTTATTCGATAAGGTGGCAGAAGTGTGGAAGAGGCAATTATCTGAACATAGACTTACTTGACCATTAAAGATACTACAAGGAACTTTCATTTTGTGGTTGTTTTGGCATTCCATGTGGACTAAAGTTGTAGTGTTTCTGAACACCAGACTCTTTAGAAAACCTCTCATGTTACTGCAGCAGGGTCTGACAGTCTGCCCCTCTCAGTCCTGGTTCTGGTTCTCCCATGCCTCCCTTCCCTCCAGCAGGTCCAGCGATACAGCCTGTGTCTCCAGCAGCGTGGTGCTGGGCCGGCGGAGCAGCGAGGAGAAGCTCTGCTCCTGGAGGAGGAGACGCTGCTGCGGGACTCGGAGCTGTTCTGCTGCTGGAGCTTCCGACTGCAGGTCAAGGCTGCAGCAAATCCAGATCTGGGTCTGTTGGCGGTGGCCTGGTCACTGCCAGAGACCCACTAGAGTCGGATCTGAAGGAGTTTCTGGTGAACTGCATGATTTAAAATCATTCATCTGATTTAATGCAGAATCCAACCTGGTGGCACAAGATACAAAGCATTAAGAAAAACTTCAAAAACGGCTTCAGTGTATTCACTAAGTTGAGACTGTTTCAAAACTAGTTGAAGTTCATCACAGTAACTTTAAATAGCCTGCCTTATTTTATGTATAAAATCTGTGTTCTGGCTTCATAGACTATAGAATTATCTTTTATTACTATCAATCTATTTATTTGAGTTCAAACACAATGGAAATGGTTGTTTTCCTTCTCCCTGATGTGCAATCCAAACCAGAAACTGTGATCCAAAAAGCCCAATACTACTGCTTGAACACTATGGTTGCACCACTAGTAGGCCTAAATGTCTGACCAGCTGAAGACTATGGTTGCACCACTAGTAGGCCTAGA